CGTGCTAATGCTTGGGTGGTATCACCAAAGCGAATTAAAGATCATACCGGCTCAAACTAGGCACTTTCCCTTCTTATAGGGGAGACCGAAATCAAACAGGAACTGTTTTAGGCCTCCGTTGCTGTGACCACTGGAAAGCGGTTTTTGTGAATGGAGGGATTTACATTTGAAACGCTTTATTATTGGCCTTCGATTGGCAGTAGAAAATAGCATATCCATTTCAAATGTGCTCAAAAGAGATTTGACTCATGAAGCCGTTCTGCAGAAGGTTCTGTAGCAGGCGAAAGCGGGATTCTCGTTCCTGAAGATTGGAGGATATACTTCACTTATTTTCACCTTGTAAAGAGGGATCTGCTGATAACGTGGTAGACAAAAGTCACCACAAATGACATGAAAGAAGTCTGCAGTTATAGTTCAGAAAAAAGCCACCATTAAAAAGAGGTTCAACTTGTATTCCACCACATTTCCTTCATAGTCGATCTCCGGTTTCACAGATATGGCGATAGTTAAATTAGAAAATAATATTGAAACAAGCAGAAAATTTAAATGAGTAGGTCCTTCGTTGGTAAATGTGCAGCCTCTTTAGTGCATCCCTGGGTGCCATCGGTGGGACTATCAAACGTCTCTTCAACAAAGTCAAACGCTGGTACCATTTCCTGACTACACTTTTAATTTGGAGGCCTCCTTTAATGACCTTCAGGTGAGCCTATTCTCTTGTAGACTGGATGTACCTCATTCTACTTACCGAACTGTTCACTTTTTTTTAGTACGAGTACGTTCGAGAAGTATACACAACTTCAGTACCAGGATTTATGTCACAAATTGGAGGTTAGTTCCCTTGACTATTTCCAGGCAACGTGTTCAAGGGAGTGGGCTCTTATTATGACAGTTGCCCTAGACCATTGTCTTTGAAGTAGTTGAATGGGTATAAACGCAAACTCAACCGATTGCCCAAGCCGTACTAGACTACGTATGGGAATTATATTCAGACCGTACTATTGTTGCAGACTATTTTTTTTATCCTAATAAATGGAATTTTCAGGGCAATTCGGATTTTTCCTTGGTCTGTCCATCATCACATTGTTGCAAATGATCCTGTATGGACTTCATTTCATCGTAACAACTGTGGCTGACAAGGCCAAGCGGGTTTACGCAATCTCAACGTCCTTCCTATACAGCGACTCTGGTGGAAAAGGTGGCTTTCTGTGTTTATGATTCTTTGTCTGCGGTTATACTCATGGGTCAATGGCGAAGTGCATTCTCCGTTCGCCGCCGCGCGTAGGCGGCGCGTGTCTAGTGGCGCCGTGGGAACAAAGTGGGGAAGCTGTACCTTGCGCTGATGCCATTGTAGACTAAATGCTATTGATTGGTTTGTGATTTACCAGTCCTCATCCTGTCCCTCAGGTCGGTGGTGCTACTTTACTTACCGGTCAGATTGAAGTAGCGGAGCGAACTTATTTTACGTTGCTTCATGTTTCTCCCCTAAGGATAAAAGGATAAAGTTTTTGGCGTTAATCAATCCCGTCTGAGGGATGCGCCCCCGCATTCGACTTCCATTCAGAATCGTAGTGGCGAATTGAATGCGTATGTGGCCTATACAATGACTTGCGGTGGCCAGCCTATGTACAAGTCAGTGCTTTTATCCTCCCAGACGAGTCTGGTACCAATTCACCGACCCCGGAGGGATGGAAGGCTTGGTTGGCCTGGGCGGGCATCGATCCGGGATTCGAACCCCTGACCGTGCGTGTGATATAGTGCGCCACTTACCACTACACCACCTCCCGTTTCTTCCCTACTAGCATGAAATAGTATTATGAGATTGTCAAAGCGCCGGCTTGGACGAGCAGAAATATTTCCAACCTACTTCCTCTTACCGTTTCCGTTTAGCCTAACCAACCGTCGTCCGTGGCCCACTATAAACACACTCTTTGTCTCAATCGACGTGATTCAACTTTATTAATATGGGGTCTTTTTGAGTAGTAAGAGCATTACATATACTTTTATCTTGCTAAATAAACTTGATCGTGTTGCTGCAATGGGTGAACGAAATAATACACAATTCATCGAAACAGAAACATTTTTATTTTAGAAGACGCTGGAAGTGCAGCTGTAACACACGATGGAGTGGCCGTCGTCTCTCGACGATCACTGGATGGTAGCGCACCACGGCGGTTATTAAATGGGTCCGCTTCTGGAAGGATTCCTTTCACTTTTGACATGTAAAAACTACTTATAAGCGTCAAGTTATACTTTTCGGGTTCTCTGAGTTGTTAGTTTCCTTCGGTTTTGATGACATTATTACTTGTTGACATCCTTGTATTATGCGATAAACCATGCTCTGCTAACTTGTAACCTTTCCTGATTCTTACTAGAGGTTTCTTCAAGTTTTAAGGGCTTCTGCCCTCGTATCGAACGCCATCGCAAGAATATCTGATATAGTAATAATATTTTAGTCAGATACCCGCTCATTTTTAAAAGCTCTTGCCGACATTTTGAAAACTGCGCCATCAGCATCGAGCTTGGTATCCAATGGGCTTATAGTGGGTCTACCACTGAGGCAATCAAATCCTTTTCCAAATCTGAGTAGAAGGCAGACACATGGCGTATCCATTGAGTTGTGCTGATACTGCATAACTTGCTCATATCTAGTTATCATAATATTTTTTCGTTGTGTGCTCAACATTTTTATGATTGGTAATGCTTTATTGAATGAAAAGTAGGGTGGTTTTACGCAATGGGCGCAACAGGCGTAACGGGGGCAACGGGTGGAACGCAACGTAGTGAGCTGGCGTCGACAATGGCACCGTTGATGTCCTCTGCTTGCCAACTTAAACAAAAATTGAAGAAATTTAGGAAAATTATGAGAAAATGCTCAATCTCCTCACTCCCATCCATTGCATCTGATGAGCTTGTTAATTCCCATTCCTGAACTGAGTTCAGCCATCTGAGCAGTTTCGAGGGTGTAGTTACCAACTCCGCAGGAGGCGATAGCCATGCATTTTCGGTTTCTTACCATGCTGGAAGTTACACTTTGAAATCACTTAAAATTTCATTATCCGAATAATCGATGGAAAAATATAGCTTCCCTAGCAGTTACAATTTCACAAAACTTCTAGACTACCTGATTTGTGGGCGGAAGCAGGTTCCAGTAGTTCCATAGCATGCAGATTGTATTCTGGGACAGTTCTGGCAGCTATCGCCTGAGCCTAAATGATCAATATAGAACCCAACAAATTTTGGGACCGTGGGTGGGACTGGGCGGGGAGGCTTCTATGCAGCCAGCCAATGAGGTGCTACTTTTTGGTGTACTGATCATCCCTCACTGGCTGACTGATTCAACAGAAACTATCGACCCGCTGCTTCTACCAGCACAAAGTCGACCCCACGGAAAAATATGTTTTTTCACTCACTTTGTGGTTCGCACTCGCTCGGTCCATTATATGAAGGGTAGATCGGATCGGGATAGAGCTGAAGTGGTTTTTCTTGGCAATTTGTCTTAGTTCTTCTTATACGCATTAAAACTCACGAATTCTTGTGGAGCAGGAAGTTCAGGAAGAATGATCGGCGTCAGGACTAGCGGAGGTAGAAAAGGAGGATAATATTGTGGTCTAGGCGGGAGTGCTGGTCCATACTGGACTGGACGAGGTTGTGGAGCCGGAGCAGGGGGTCCATAGTTGACCTGAGGAGGTGGTGCCTGTGGAACTGGGGGTCTATAGTTGACCGGGGGNGCCGCGCCATCGTACTGAGTGTAGACGGCGAAGGCGGTGGTCAGTAGGATGGTACGAAACATTGTCTGGAATGGCTGAATTCACGAAAATTACACGGATTGCTGAGATGGGCCAGATATCGATGGCCTCTTATGGAACTACTTTAGTTGAAGATGTTATCCATCAGTAGGTTCCCCTGCCAGAGAAAGGACCTTCACCCATTTCATCTGAGCTCATTTTCTAAACAGAGGAAGTGACCGGGAAAAGGTCAGAAAAGTAAAAAATGATTTTTTTGACTGAAGTTAATAAAGGGGTTCGATTTCCAATGAGGAAATGATAGGAAATCGAACAAGTGTGCCTAATTGCCACCTTCAGGAGTTTTTATACTGCTTCTCCAATGAGAGAATTTAGCTCAATTTACATGTTATGTCTGGCCCAAATGATGAATAAACCCATATCAGCATTAAAATGTTTATTCATTTTGCAAATGGTTAAGAATTTCTGAGACAATGGTTCAAATTCTTTACATTATAGATTCTTCAGCAAGGCTGCGTAACGAAATCTACAGAATTTCTCTGAGATAGTAATACCTTTTATAAAATCTGCTTCCAGATAACTTTCGTGCAAGAGTCATCATACATAGCGTGGCTACCTACTACTACTTATTACCTACTTAGCTCTTCCGCAACCCTACATAGTTGCATTCCATCCTTGTTCCCGTAAGCATTTACATACGAAAAGCTTCTATGCTTTAATCTTTCTGACCAAAAGTTTATAGACGGGCACTGTAACAGAGACCAAGCGACGCCAGGATTTAGTGGACGAGTTCCTTGGGGTGCCGGAGGGTGTGTGTCAAGTCGTGCGTCCGAGGGGACGCGCGGCAAATTGCGCGGCGAAGTTCGTGGCGAATTTGGACGATTCCGGCGCCTATCTTCGGGGCCCAAATCTGAAGCAGGGTAGATTAGTAAGGTCAGCTGTTCCTACTATTTTACTGTACTCCAAAATTGGGGCCCAAAAAGCAGGCGCTGAGGTCGTCAGAATAGGTATGAGTTTCGCCGCGCGCACCCTCGGACGCACGACTTGACCGTCCCCCGGTGCCGGATGGCTGCTCGTTTGCTTGCTACACTACATATTTAAGGCGTACCTCTACACCTTCGATCCAGTGTTCGTGTTACTGCAAGCCGAAAACTTACATCGACAGCTCCCACCTCCTAGAAAACAAGTTAGTCTAGGTGACAAAAACCTTGCATCGCTGCAAGTTCTACTGCTTCTATGAATTGGGAAGATTTAAGTTATGTCGAATATTTTCCAATGACAGACCTACCAGCTACCTCTTCCAGTACTTTGGAAAGGGTCCCTTTTGCTTCAGCGGGTGCAGCGGTTGTGACTAGGAGAATATTGACTTCTCACCACTGCTCCAGATTCAGGATGCGACACTTATCCCACTTCAATTCTAAATCGTAGCATCGACTACATGCTTATTGTGTCTTTTTGTGGATTCATGTCGGGCAGTCCCCGTGTAAGTAGCCAAAGCGTATTCTAGCATTTGTTAACTTAAGCGGATATCACCGAACAGCCTTGTAGGGTGGAAGTCTTGTCTGTATTGAAAAATTTCATCTTGAATTCAATTTCCGAGTTACACGTGTAACAGAGACGGCCATGCCTCATCCCCGTTCCGAGTCGATGAAATAAATGGGGGAGACGGGCGTTGGGAACGATTTTGGGTAATCGATTCGCCGCACGCGGCTGTCGCGGACCACTCATTCGCCGCTATTACAGCTCTAGCGTTCTTCATACAGCTCAATCGATATGCGATCATTATTTTATGCATAATTCCACTATTAGTACTTTCGTTCTTGTACTTATTACCTACTGCTGCATCCTGCTACATTCCTTCGCGCGCGACGCCCCTCTTACCGCGACGAGACCATTTCGTTCCTAATGCACCACTCCCAATAAATGGTCTTGGGCATATATCTATTCTCACTGGCCTGAATAGAAAACGTTTTTTAAAATGTCGGGTCAAACTGGTTACAACCTGGCCGTTTATACTAACTTTTTACTATGAAGTAAAAACTGCAACAGAATCATGTAGAAAGGTTTTTGGTTAAGCAGGATACTGCAAACTCCAATCATCTACACGGTGCTGTTTCATGACTGCATAGCTACGTACTATTATATGACTATTCATCATATTTCGATTTACTGAAGAAATGCTGATCCTGCCTTCCATCCCCGCGGAGTCGAATATCGGTACCGAATTAGTCTGGGAGGATCAAAGCAGTGACTAGTACATCAGCTGGCCACTGCAAGTCATTGTATAGGAGGCACTCGCTTTCATAGCGTCACTACGATTGCAAATGAAAGCTGAGTGCGAAGGCTTGCTCCAAAATGGTATTAAAGACGTTGCCTCAAGACGGGACGAGGACTTAGACCTTTTACTCCGCCCAATTGGGCGAAGCTTAATGTCGTGTTGGGAAACAAGATTGGCTTGATCTCAAGTATGACATTGCAAACGATAATCTACCATCCAAAACCCATGCACCAGTTTGCACCGGGTTGGGAGACGGGTGTTGGAAACGATTTTGGGTAATCGATTCGCCGCACGCGGCTGTCGCGGACTACTCTTCGCCGTTATTACAACTCTAGCGTTCTTCATACAGCTCAATCGATATGCCATCATTATTTTATGCATAATTCTACAATTAGTACTTTTGTTCTTGTATTTCTTACCTACTGCTGCATCCTGCTACATTCCTTCGCGCGCGACGCCCCTCTCACCGCGACGCGACCATTTCGTTTCTAATGCACCACACCACACCGGGTTTAGTTTGGTGTCGATCAACGTTTGAAAATTCACGGAAGCTATTGATGGAGACCCGTTCTACAGGAAATTCCAGAAGTTTCAGTATTTCCGCCTGTTCCAATCATCGATAAAATATTACTACTTTCAATTAGCAGTTTTGGACAAATTTCTGCCATGCTTGGTATTGAAACTCGGTTTACGACATCGTCAAAGGATTCGTCTTCGGTAAAAATTTAACGAGAGTCCCGTATCAGGCATCCCGAGTGGAACCAGAGCAGTTCCACAACAATACTTCGCTAAAGTTGAAGAAGTTCCGGAAGTTGTAGAAGTAGACGCCTAATGTTTCAATTCATCGGGTGGTGCCGGTATCACGCTGTTTTACTTGTAATCTTGCATTTCTATTTTTGGCAGTTATCTGCGGGTACTTTATTAAAAATGCTTTATTTTTGATACGAGTAACGGCGTCTCTGAATTCTTGCCAGAGCTCTTGACAAAGTGGCTGAACTACCCAAACCCCTCTGAAGATAGTGTGCGATGAAAGCGATTGTCGGGGGCTCACACAGTTTAGTGCTCGAAAAGGACGTGTTTCACGGCTCTGTAGAAACTGGTACCATCTAAGGTGGCGAATGCTTTTCTGCACAGTCAGCTAAAATACGCTAACAGCTAACCTTTGCTATTCGCAGCTACTGACATCTCGTCCAAACACCCATTCACCTTCAGAACTCTGTCCAATCATATAAATAAATTAGTGAAATAAAGACCGTATATTTTGGGAATTTCAGGATTGTTCGTTGCTTTTTGCCTCCAGTAAACGTCGTATTTTCTGAAGAACTTCCCCCTTTGGCTAGCGAACTATGGCTTCGAGCTGAGCAATATAAGCTGAGTATAAGTATACTACTAGTATTAGTTGTAGATGTCTCTGCCGATCATAGGTTTCTCTGGAGTGTAATGATCCTAATGACTTGTGATCTGTGCCTTTTTCTGGGTACATTGCCACATTCCAAATTGCTGTAAGAGAACGGTGGACAGATGCTTTCGTCGTATGATTTCTGACGAATCGTGTGGTGTATATTTACATAAAGCATTTTATCGGACCGATGAAACATTAAACAATGTCATGCGATTATATGAATAATCTGTAGACCTTTTTCTTAAATATTCCTTCAACAAAGGGAAAAATCGTGGAATGCAAAGCATACTTTTGGTTTACTGATCGTTCAAAAGGAAAAAACCAATGGAAAACTATCGACCAGAAATTTGATTTCTAGAAACGGTTTTTGCGTTGATGTTCAAGTCCACATAGCTGAGATTTTTGGTTTCTGAGATCCTTAACTTCCGAAATCTTTTAAAGCAGTGTTTATACAAACCAAATCAAATTCAGGAGATCGAAAATAGCGTTCATATACCAGTAGTCACTAAGAACCTGTAAACACTTGGTGAACATGTCAAAGCACAGTGGTCGTAGTGCGATTCTTACAGCTACGATGGCAGCACTTCCATCTTCGTCGATCTTTTTGTACAATCAGTCTCAGGTTTTTGGTCCGACATGGGTGACCCTCCTTACACAAGCGGAATACGCTAATGTCACCAACATCAGAGTCAGCGCCATCGATGGGATGAGGCGAGGGTGAAGCGTCAAAATACCGGTCAATCAACTTCACCAAACTTTCCAAAACATCGGATTGGTCTTGATGTGCTCAATAGCTACCAACTTGCTATAAAAATGACTTTTTAATTTCACAAAAGCGAATATGGAGTACTGTTGAGTGGCTCCGCTGCCGTATGCATCAACTAGAGGCTATCCCAAGTGAGCTCTCTCCTACGTCAGGCAATTCCTACACGGGTTACATGCTTGGCACCAAAAACTTCTGGAAGGACAGAACCATTACACACAGGCTAGGACCTGGTTACTTAAAGAGCCTAGTAAAGCCTAATTTGTAGAAGTCATTATTGTGAAGTGAGCGTACGACCAGTAAAGCGTTGTAAACTTGACTTACTATCATCCAGCGTACTGCAAGACCGGTTAGGCCTGCCTTTGAGGTTCTTTTCACAGCTATGATACTAAATTGCCAAAATGTTGTAGGCCCATTCACTCGTGACTTCGTGGTGGTAGCGGAGATTACCTCCTTTACGTGGGCATACGTAGATTCGTTGAAAGGAACGGAAGGCTTGAGCGGTCCTTTGGGCTAACAATTGTGTGTGCGCTTGATTAGCTGCTGCCTTTGCATTTGAATATGCTGCATAGCACTCCGGCCATGGAATTTGCATACTTCAAAC